TCAGTACGTGACAGTTGTTAATGTAGACACCAGCATCTGATAGTCACTAGAGTAGTCACCAATGTTTGACAGCTACTAGAGTAACCATCAGTACCTCATAGTTGTTAGACTAACCATCAGTACGTGACAGTTGTTGATGTAGACACCAACATGTGATAGTCACTGGAGTAGACGCGAACGTTTGATAATTTCTAGAATGACGCCAACGTTTGATAATTACTAGAATGGCGCCAAAGTTGGATAGTTACAAAAGTAACCATCAGTACGTGATAGTTATTGAGTAATCATTGACACTTAATGGTCACTAGGGTAGCCACCAATATTTAATAGTTATTAGAGTAACCATCAGTAAGTGATAGTTATTAGAAAAACATCCAGCTCGTGATAGTCAATGGAATAATCGGCAACGTTTGATAGTTGTTAGAGATACCCTCCGTACGTGAGTGATAGTTTATAAGAGTAGTAACTAGAGAGGTCATATACTTTGTGATAGTCACTGGAGTAGTCGCTAGTGCACCAATGTCAATGAAGTAGCTTCCAACACGTGATAATCGTTAGATTATTCACCAGAACTTGATTGTACTGGAGTAGCCACCAGCGCTGACATGAACCAAAATTCCAAAAAAAAACAACTTTTTTTTGGATAGTTTTACAGCCTATAAATATCTCATTTTCTTCAGTTTAGTAGATTTTACCTGTTGACCGAAATGTAAAGAAATACCTCCCTACAATATACAGAAAATGCTATATTTTTTTTTAACTTTTAACTAATTATTAAAAACAACAAATAACATTTTATACATTTCATTGCCTTTATGAAATTATGATTTTATAAGCCACATTATTACAAAGACTGAAGACTTCCAAGACTAGTACAATATAAAGCTTCTTCCTCATGGTGCGACCCAGTAACAGATTTTTTTTTGTGGTCAAGAGATCTAGGTTTTCAGGCAGTTTTGTTTGCCCTCCCCTCTTTTGAGAATCTGTATATATATATATATATTTTAAATNATATATAGATAGATAGATAGATAGATAGTAGATAGATAGATACATGATGTTACTTGATGGTCCTTTTTTTCAAGATTGAAATGAAAGTATGAAAGTCATTCTGAAGCTAATTTCTACATTTTTACACATTCTGTGATTCCAGCATCTCTTCTTTAATATTTATGTTGACCGTTAAAACAATGCAACAAAAATAGCAAATGTACACATGTTTCATTGTATATGTATATGGGTCATTGCAAATCTTACTTCGCAAAAAGTTCTACCCTTAACTTTAAGTAATTTTAGTAGCTGAAATAAAATTCCAAGTAACATTTTTTAACATTCAAATTGATTTACTATATGACTTTAGTAAATGTAGATACATAAACATTAGATATATGCAATAATGCCTGCGTAAAACATCTTTAATTCATCAAATATGGCTAAACTGCCTAAATTCCAACTTTTTTTGCATCTTCTTTAACTTTAATTAAACCAACTGTTAATTGAAAATAATTTTAATTTGTCTAGTTGTGAAAGTTGAGTTATATGTCATTTACTTCACATAGCTTTAAATATACATTTTTAAAATTACTTTTGTATCAAAATCGGACATTTCAATGTTTTTCCTGGAATTTTCGCACTCTGTTACCATTATGATTGCATTAAATTATTTTTTATTGAGTTGCCGAAAATATGTCCCAACGTTCCTTCAATGGGTCCATTTTTGGATAAGGTTATCATTTTAGAAACCATTGTTATATTTGATGTATTCTAAGAAATAATAGTTTTAAATTTATTGCTTTAATGCTTCATTTATTTTTTTTAATGATAAGATCAAATTGCGATTTTCAGTTCTGCATAAATATCTCTTCTTTTCAATTGAACCTTCACTGTAAAAAGTAAAAAATGGGTACTCAAATACAACTTAAGTTTCTTTTTTGACGAAATCGTTTCCTGGTATATGCTTCGTGTAAAAATTTCACCAAATTGAGGAAATAACTCTTGTCATTTCATCGAGGAAATTAATTTTGTCAAAATTAAAGAAATATTTTGCCATTCTATCCCCCAAAGAAACTTCAACGTGCTTAATGCATCTAACTTTTATAATAACAACTTTATTTTGAATACCATATAGAAGGCACAACACAACAAGAACAGATACAACAAAGGAGTGCCTGATGCGGGATTCGAATCCCGGATCTATCTGGTATGAGGTAAATTCTTTTACTACCATAGCGTTTTTGTTACTTTATTTTTGATTGTCTAGTCTTTATTCTAGTTTCATCATTCTAGTTAACAATCTCTCACAATACACTACGATGAGGTTTCGAATGGAGGAAACATTTTCGTCATATATTTGACAGTTCCCGTTTTGTCATGAATCACGTCATTTTGTGACGAAATGATTCTCGAAATTAACAAAATACCGCTCAAGGAATGTTGAATCGTCAAAAGTGGGATTTTTGAGTGTCTCCAAGTATATTGACTTGGATCATTTTCTCTTTGCTTCTATCGTCTTGGTAACATCATTTATCGGATTTAAATTCAGTATTACATTAATTATTAAGCTTATTAAATGAAATATTGCTAGGTATCAATATTTGCGTGATTAAAATTCAGTAATTTCTAATGCAAGAGTATTTTAAATTTGGTCCTACTGTCAGCCCTAATCTCTTTTGACCTTTTCCTCTCTGTTTCCTACATTTTTTTATTTCCCTATATTATCTAATTTAAGAAGAAAAAAAAACAATTTTAAGAATTTACGGTGTAAATTTGAATGGAAAGTAAATTGTTTACTGGTACAGGTAACCTTTTTTTATCAAAGCACCTTTGAAAATTTTTGTCACATTTTTTTTTAATTTAAAATTTTTTTTTTTCAAATTTAATTTATGTTCCAAATCAAAACGTGCACTGACCTTTTAAGTTTTATGAATAAAAACATTCTAACTGAAGCTGAAATTTTTATGAGTTGAAAGTTTAATTTTTTTTAAAAAAGTTTCTTAATGCCTCTCCATTGTGATAATGTCCCATATACTTATGTTCGTGTTAGCGAAAACTTAAAACAACAGTCATCAACGCTCTGTCCCTTCAACCGATAATTACCATCATTAGTGATCAATTTTAATTTTTTACTTTTTTAGATTTATCTGACATTATAAAATAAATGAAACATGAATTTGTTTGATATTTACTAATTTCAATAAAATATTCCGTGTGTTATAAATTATAATATTAATTAACTGGGCAATTTCGTTTAATGTTAAGAAATAATTTCAAATAAATTCTATTCATTTCAAACAATGGTAAAAAAAAATTATAATTTCATATGCACGAATTACTTTTTCTTATTGTTTTTTTATTACTCTCCAATGTACTTTTTATGGTTCCGAAATACGTTTTTCTCCTTTTCATCTTTTGTAATCATTGAACTTTTCCATGCGACGAATTATGATGAGGTATGAAAATTAAATTTTGAGTTGATGAGCAATCATCTTAATTTGCTCGAAAATAATAGTCAATGAAAATTCTTAAAATTACGTTTAATATTATTTATTATAATGAACAAAGAACCTTCTTGCTAATTTACAAAAACTGTTTAAACGAAGAAAAAAAAATATCTTACTAATGAGCTTCCAGAATACTCTTTTTCATTTCAATAAAATGAAAAAGGCTTATTTTATTGGAGAAATAGAAATTCTTCTCAGTAAACAAAAAATAACTAAAATTGAAAAAATATTTTTTATAAAATTGCCTCTCAGAAAGATAGTGAAAATATAAAAACTAAAACTCAATATACGACCAAAACAATAAACTAATTTATTGAAGGGTTTTCTATGTAGCATTTTTGGTTTAAAAATTCCAATATGCAAAGAGAAATGTTAATGAACGAACAAAAAGTGATTTTTTTTTATTTCTTATAAGCATATTTTTAAATTATTTGTGCTCAACGAAAAAAATTAAGTTGTATTGCATACATCCACCTTTATATTAAAAATGAAAATATTGTTTGTAATAATATTATGATAAAAATAATAAGTAAATAGCATTTGATTTTGATTTTGAAAAGTATTGAACTAATATTGATTCTGTAGGCAGTGAATGAAATTTTGAGCTACTCAAATTAATTTATCAGCAGGTAAAAAATAGTTATAATGTTATTCATTAAACAGTAATAATTAAAAGATAAATTTTTAATTAAGCAATTAAAATATATATTATTTTTTAATAAATAATGACCTTATAATATTATTATTTAATTAATATAAATGCCTTAATTAATTAAACAATAATATTGAAAGGTTCATATCATTGTTTAACTAATAATAATTTATTAAACAATTTTAATTTATTAAATAAATATATGTATATCAAACAATAAAAAGTAATGTTAATTTATTAAATTAATTGATTAAGCAATTATTATCAATTTAATTGCTAAAAATTAAATAATAATTATTAATATTAATCATAATTCAAAAATGATTTTAATTAAATGGTCTCTGTCTAATGCATCGTTTAATGAACTCAATCAATCAAATTATAGAGTTTACGAACTACAGATTTTGCTTTTTGCAAAGTAAAAGCCTATAATAAGTAAAATAATATAATAAATTCTATTTGTTCGAACAATTTACTAAAATGCCTTTTTAAATAAGATAAAAGGAATTTTTTTGTATGTAAAAATATTATTTTATTGTTAATAGTAACCATATTAAATTTTGATTCAGCATAATCATTGAATATTCACTACAATTTCTGTCTAAAAATGACCGATGAAGAATCTCCTCCCATTAAAAAATGAAAGGAGATGCAGCAGTTTAAAATGTTTTGCTCAGAAAACCAGATAATTTATTCTTACAAGGTGTTGGACTTTGTTGAGAGTAAATTAGACTGAAAGTCACGTAGAACAAACTGAAAACTTAACTTTTATTTACATCAAAAAGAATATAAAAACAATAAGATGTTGCCAGCACAGGAAACTCAAAACTATCTAACTAATCTCGAACTCAAACCTCAACATCCTCCCCACCCTGGTCGACCTCGAGAGGGATGACCAGAGCTACCGGACGGGTTATATTGTGACCATTAACTCTCAGCTCACAGGATCTTATTTTTCCATCTCGTCCTTCATGCAAGTTCACCACTCTAGCTTTCTTCCACATGTGACGTGGTCGGACATCTTCTTGTAGAAGTACAATATCGCCAATTCGGATGTTAATGATATTGTCCTGATTACGAACTTGATGAAATGACCGCAATTGAAGCAAATATTCCTTAGACCATTTTTTCCA